CCAGTAACAAATTGGATTTTTAAATGAATAATAAATTGGAAGCATCTTTCCTACATAAAATTCTTGAATTTGACATTTGTCAAAAAATCCAAACAACCAGCACCTTATTTCACAGGTAATGAAATGTCTTGTCAGTTTCTTGAAAGTCCGTCGTGGTCAGCAATGCTTTTTGCTGAAAATGCAACAAAATACAAAAGAAAAAAAGGGTTACATCGATCCCTTGAAAAATATAGATGAGGCGGACAATCGGGCTTCCTCAGTTGTTCAAATTTCACCATTAATATCAATGTAAATAACTGAAAATACAAACTTTTTTTGACGTTCGCTCTCAAAATTTGATGTTTCATTTTTAACACTAGTGCTATAAAGACTTTATGGCACTAGTGCGATAAAGTAACATTTTTAATGCTACGGGGGGGTGTTAAAAATTGCATTTTTAATACGTTTGTAGACAAAAAAATTTAATGACTAATCATAATTAATGGTGTGCTTGCAAATAAAATACATAGTATACAAACCTCAAAGGAAAGTTTTCATTTCTGTCTCGAGATTAATAGTCAATCTCGACGCTCCGCGTCTCGATTGACTATATAAATCTCTCGACAGTAATGAAACACTTCCCTATTCGGTATGTAATATACTAATACAAATCTCGAAGGAAAACTTCATTGCTGTCTTGAGGTTTAGTTTATCTCGACGCTACGCGTCTCGATTAACTATATAACCTCTTGACCAGCAATGAAGCATTTTCCGTCTCGGATTGTAATATACTATTCCTAGTTCAGTCAGCAACAAAAATAAAATTTAATGACATCTTTTACTATTATATAGAACAATAATGGCCGCGTTCACCAGATACAAACGTTGGTAAACGATTTGCGATTGTTCTGCTGAACGCTACGTTGAATTTGTGTTAAAACCAAACATGTTTTCATATAATTTCAGAGGGTTTTCAATTTTCAACACTGTGTTTTGTGTGGTGACCTGTCATTCAGAAGGTGACGTTCTATCATTGAAAAGTTGAATCGTTCAGCAGAACCAAGAGTTTACCCAACACAATCTGTTGGTATTTGTAAACTGTTTACAATCCGTTTTGGTTCTGGTGAACGTAGCCAATAAGACAATTAGTGCAGGTGATTAGGGCAACTTATTCAAAAACTTAACAAGAAAAATATATACTATAGTCTTTATTAGAATCAAATTCGCGATTTTTGATTCCAGGTACAGGGTGTTTTTTTATATATCGACACCCCACCCGCAGCCTTTACCTTTATAAGTAGAAGAAAGGTGTTAATACAAATTAAAGTTGTACAGTTTTGGCTGAATTTTTGAAAACCATATGGTCAGAAACAAAATTTGAATGTCAGAAATGTGAAATTTTGCATTCTTGAAGAGCACAATGCCCCGATTCCAAAAATATATAGTTTGTCTATATTTGATTGAACAGTCTCTCATATATTCGGCTCCAAAAATTGTAAAAATACTATCCTACTATAGTCTGGCCAGGGTTGTTCTTGGGAAATTTTCGTGTGTGCCTGCAGCGACACTCAAATAGTGCTAAATACTCCAAATAGTGCCACTTAATAAAAAATGCTGAGAGAGGATTTTGAGACTTTTTACCCATTTCTTTTTATTACATGATTAAAAGGAGAAAGATATAATATATTTCATATATTAAGGCTGGGTTCGGTAATTGTATCTGCGAGCGAAAAGAGCAAATTTTGACGAATGTCATGTGATCACTTATCTTTTTTCAGGTGTCAAATCACGTGGCATTTGTCAAATTTTGCTCATTTTGCTCGCAGATGCAATTACGGAACCCAGCCTAAATTCACTATAATGACAATTGACAGTCACGATGACACTGTCACTAGTCCCACTCACATCGACAGATCCGATCCAATGACCTAAGCCCGGTATTCATAGACGGGTGCTTGGCTCAAGCTCCGATTTTTGACAGTTGTGAGCATCGTTCCGTGTTGTTTGGAATAGCAAATATGGCGTCAAGTCGTACTTGAGCCAAGACGCAACCTTGAGCATCGACTATGAAATACGGGCCTATAATAACAGATCCATTACAATTCTCACAGGTCGACTGGGACTGAGGTCGCTAGCAAAGAAATAAATTGAACAAATAATACAATAGAATAGAAATAAACAAAAAATCCTGCTCCAGCTCTAATCTTCCTCATCTTAAAAATTTGAAAAAGGATAATATCTAATAAATCTTTGAATAATAAATTAATGTGAATCGTGCCAAATTTTTCAAAGTGGTGCCACCGTGCATTTTGCGGGCGAAAAGTGCCACTTTTGGCACAATTGTGCCCTTTGAACAACACTGAGTCTGGCTAGCTAAACGGCGAACTCAAAAAGAATTTGCTGCTATGCCAAACTTGACAGAAACAATATTAAACAAGTTGGTGACATATTTTTTTTTGCAATATGGGCCGTGTAGTATTTTGAAATAGGAAAAAATCCGGCAACATTACGAAATGAAGGAAACGGAGAGGCGTGATTATTCAGAGACATGATTCTATTGGTTAGAGCCTGAACGACAGCACCAGTGGCGTGGCTATTCGTGAAACTTAAGAATTTTTTTCCTAATCATTTTTTGGTTTATTTCCTTGGTGTTTTCGGTGCCACTGTACCCAAAGATCATGGTTTTCATCAGGCGGTGTCAGTTGAGGATACTAATTTTGTAAACCATTCTACCGGTACAGGTGAAAGCTGCAGGTAAAATTACGATGTTCTGTATCGTTGCCAATATTGATACCACCAGCAGTTTCAAAACATCAATGTAAATATCGACGCAAATTTTGTGTTTGTGTTTTTTATTACAAATGCTGGGTCAGTTAAGGAAAATAATTACCATTTATTTGGTACGCCCCCACACTAGCCCTGTAACCAAGAAAAATCATAAATATCGTATCAAAAGTATCGATATTTTCCCACATTATATCGATATGAGAAAACTACATAGACGAATCAATATAATCAATAAACCCATACGTGATTGCTCCAAATTGTATACTTATACGAACATTTGACAACATCGCCAATCCAAAAATGTTCGCAAGTACAGCAAACGCAAACATCAAGGGATTGTTATCTTGTTGGTAATATGTTTAAGGATTTTTTTAAAGAGATGCCTAAAATATGGCTTATTTCTCTTATTTGAGTATTATTTCATTGCTTTATGCCAGTGGCGGATTTAGAGGGGGGCGCGGGGGGCGCGCGCCCCCCCCCCTATTGAGCGACGCAACAAAATTTTTAACAAAAATACAAACATATTCATCAAGCATTATCCAACATGAAATTCCATATGGTTTTTGCTATTTTTCCAAATTTTTAATACTTTTAAATACGTTTGGCAGCAGCGAGCTGGGAGCGAATCGACTGCGGATGACGTAAATCCGCACCAACTTTGAATTTGATCTTTAATTGAAAATTCCAATTAAATTTAATCTCCGATTAAATTAAATGTTGATGTCAAATGATAGTTTATGAAAATCTTAGATAGGAATGTGAAATCGGTTTTCCTCTGAAATTAACCGTTCAGGTTTTACAACCTGTCAAAGTTGCAAAAAGTCAATGTTCAACTGTCAATATTTCCAAAACAGTTGAACTTAGAACTTAGGTATAGGGTATATCACATGAAATCTGCTCAGAATTTTACGTAGAATCCAAATATGCAATCACATACAGGGTGTTTTATTTGAAAAAAAGAAAGTTGGTCTAGATAGCAAACAAACCAGAAGTGACACAGGCAATACGTTTAAGTAGAATTGTGGGCAATATTAGGGACATAAAGCTACTTGAAATAATTCGCCGGTATTGGTATCGGTATCCGTAACGCAACTAGATACGTTGACAAGCGAAAAGGCTGTTAAAGCGCTCCCTGTTCCGGTAAACGTAAACGCATTTCATAACTTAGACATTTTTGTCTCAAAACTTCGGCGTTTTTATATCTAACCTTAAAATTGTTATTTTTTTTGCGTTAGAGAAGCACTAAACACACAAGAAACTCAAGAAAGTATAAACTAAACAAATTAAATCAACCCGGAAGAAAAGGGAGGTTATATTCATTTGAAATTTGACACATGCGTCAGGAATGTCAAGACACGTTACCGATACGGATACCGCGAGAGGGCCGTAACGTTACGTTGTACGTACAGTGGCTAAATAAGCCTTTACGTACAGTGGCGACAATAGAGGTCCCGCCGCCATCTTGTTCCCAACCTCTTGTTACTTTTAAATATTAATATATAGGATTTAAATGGACATCTACCATAAAAAATTGAAATCGACGTATTTGATTACCATTATTAGGTCCATCAAATACGTTGTTTTCCATGATTTATGATGAATGTTCACCTAAATCCCATATATTTATATTTAAAAGTAATAAGGGGTTGGGAACAAGATGGCGGTGTTTTCAATATAAATATATGGGATTTAAGAACCAATCAAAAATGAGACAGCAATTGTCGCCACTGTAGTTGTACGTACGGTATCTCGGTTTCCGTATCGCTTCTGCACATGCGCAGTACGATACCGTAGGTCTGTTCCCACAGGAGTCTCTGACAGTCTGCAAACTGTCAGTAAGCATCGCCCATACATGTTTTCAATGCTGTCGTTACAAGATAAATCTGTAACTCAGCTGAGCGATTGTTTCTGACAGGTTGCAAACTGTCAGAGACTCCTGTGGGAACAGACCTCGTGTGTCCCTGAGCAACTTTCATTAAGGTCACTTTTTCGTATACGAGGTAATTAAAAAGTTACAGGTATTATACGCGACTTTTTTGCCACTCTGTATATTTAAGTCGTTTTTTTATTATTTCTTATCTGAGTCTGAGGCCCTGATGGAGCGCCCCCCCCTAGAAGGAATCCTAAATCCGCCGCTGCTTTATGCACAAGCAGACTATTGTTTCATGTGATTAGTGGCAACAGCAACCCTGCTCTTTGTAAACTTGGCACCACCGCAACAGCTGTTTTACACTAGCCACATTGACAGTTTTCATTCATTAATCAAATAATGAATTTTTATTTTATCCAACAATAACATATTTATAAAAATATAAAACAGAAAAATTCAAAATATTTCAACTGTACAAATATTCGGAACATGTAAAAATGGCATTGGCAGACGACGAAAACCATTGGTAATAATCAACAATCGATTTTCTTGTGCTTTCTATTTTAAATTGAAAATCTTGTTTTCCAGGATCAGCGACCTAGAAAATGCTTTGCTGGAAGAATGTTCAGTCTCCGATATTTATTGTATTTGCAAGGGAAAACCTTTACCAGAAAGTTTACGTCCAGAAGTGTGGCAGGTCAGTAATTATTATGGATTTTTCCCCTTAAAAAATCAAATTTACCCTGCAGTCATTATTAAAATTAAAACAAAAGTAAATATTTACAATATTTATAAGAGGATATAATTAGGTGCCAATTTTAATTACCTACTAATTTTCTTATTAGCCATCCAAGGTTATTTTTAAGCTTGTATAATTATTTTTAGATTTGCCTCGATGTAAGAGATAAAGGCAACCAGCTGGACCACTTCAATGAAGTCTACGATCTTGCAAATCAAACAGTATTAAGAGAAGACTGTAAAAACTTTGTTGCAAAACTAGGCAACGATGAAGAAGACAAAATACAAGTAATTTCAGATCTGGAATCGATCATCACATTTTACTGCAAAAGCAGAAACCTGCCTTATTCCCGAAACAACGGCTGGATTGAAATATTGTTACCCATACTCACTTTGAAAGTCCCTAAATCTCCTACTTATAACCTTTTTGAGGCTATAAGGGACACATTTATCCCCCAAAGTTGTGAAAAAGATGGAAACGCTTTTCACATTTTAAGACTTCTACTACTCTATCACGATCCTGAATTATGTTCATTTTTGGACACCAAAAGGATAACTCCAGAAAACTATTGCCTAACATGGTTTCAATCTTTATTTGCAGCTACCTGTAGTTTACCTGTAGTAATCAACATGTGGGACTACTATTTCCAGCAATCCGATCCTTTTTTCATATTTTTCCTGTCACTCATAATGGTTGTAAATGCCCGAGACGAAATTATGTCTTTGAAAAACGAATCTAGAGACCAGATTATTGCTAGTTTATCGAATATGCCTTCTAGACTTGAAGCTGATGACGTTGCCGATTTTTGTTCTTTGGCCCAGTATTATGCTGTGAAAACTCCAATGTCTTTCAGGCAAGATCTGATGCAGACAATTTATAATGGGAAAATGGATTCGACTCTGCTGGTTTCTCAGGCGCTTTGTTTGCCGGTGTCTGTACACGAATTGGTTGACAATATTGCCAGGGAATCTACAAATGTTGATGCTGTGAGGTGAGGATTTTTCACTTTTTAGTTAATTTTTTTTGTTTATTCCAGGCTCTTAAGTTTTCTTTACAATTTTTCTTCAAAATTCTACAGTTTGGAATGAAAAAACTAAAGAAAATTAACAGTTTTAAAGTTAGAAAATCAAAGAGCAATGCAGAAAGCAGAAAGTTTTGTTTTATAAAAAAAAAGTTTGATTTTTTCCAAAATAACATGACAACTTTGTTAATTGCCATCTAATTCTAATATAATTTGAACTCAAATTAGGGCCAATTAAATCCTATATTAATCTATAATCAATAGTTTTGCAGCTGCAAGGCTCTAAGTCTTTCCATTTTGATTTTTTTCAAGATGATCAAGCAGAAGAATTTTCTTACCTAAATTTCAATATTTTCTTCAAGGGGCAAACCACTTAGGAATTCTTTGCCGAAACTGTGGGGAATTTAGAGGAATTTGTGGGGAATTGGAAGAAATCTATGGGAAATTGGAGGAATGTATAGGAAATTGACGGAAATGGTGGTTTATTCCATAGATCTTGTGCACCTTGGTAAAAATCAAAGTAAAAAAACCTCAAAAAAAAAAACTGAAGCTTGAACAGCTGAAAACTATTCAAGTTGCATTGAAATTATTCACTAAGGATTTCTAGATGATTTAATTGACTTTATTTCAAGCCTAATTACGTTAAGATAGGATTTAAATTGAAATTAACAAAGATGTGAGGTAAAGTATGGTTCAATGTCATTTTGGAAAAAATCAAGCTTCAAAAAACGATGAATTTAAGAAAAACAAAAAATTGCTCTTGCATGCTCATCTTAATAAAAGTCAAAGTCAAAAGGGTTTACAGCTTTGCAGCTGCGAACCTATTGAAGCTGCATCGAAAATACTTAGTAGGGATTTGTGAAGGATTTAATCAGCTTCATTCCAAGCCTAATTACGTTAAGATCGGATTGAAATTAACAAAGATGTGAGGTAAAATATGGTTTAATGTCATTTTGGAAAAAATCAGCTTCAAAAAACGACCTTAAAGGATGTTTCAATTAGGTATTTTTTTGAGAAAAGTTTGAAGGATTGGATTGAAATTTTGCAAGTAGGTAAAGAAAATATTGAATTTTAGTAAAAAATAAAAAGTTCTTTCTGATCGTTCACCTTCAAGAAGCAAACCACGTAGGAATAGGTACTTTGCGTGGGGAATTTAGAGGAATTTGCAAGAATGTGGGGAACTTGAAAAAATTGAGAGAATGTATGAGAAATTGGGAGAATTTATTGGTTTCAACATTGAGCGTAATAAAAATAGAAATTTCTTATCATGAACAATAATGGGGAATTATTTTTATGGAATTTGTGAGCAGTTTAGAGGAATTTGTGGGGAATTTGGAAGAATTGCAGGTAAATTGAGGAATTGTTTGCACAAATTCGAGGAGGGGGGGGGGGGTGTGGTTTACCCCTCGATTTTCTTCATCCAATTGCAAATTTTCCTCGAAAAATAAATAAAAGGTAAGTCAATGTGATATTTTTGGAAAAATGCTAAATAGTTTCAATGTAGCGTCAATATTTCACGTAATTTCACGAGAATTCCTTGAAAATCCACTATAAAATATGAAATTTTTCTGAATTTGACTAAAATTTTAAATTCCACAAAAATTCCATGAAATTCCTCAGAGTTATCACCAACACTTCATGTAATCTTCTGGAAATTCCGCGGTAATCATTTGTAATGTCCTGTGAATGAAAAGTCCATTTTACAGATTTTTTTTTTTTAGAATTCTACAAAATCTCCACAAAATTTTCTTGAAATTCTTCAGAATTGCTGCATTGCATCTAATATGGAAATTCTGCGCTAATTTCATATAATTTTTAAGAATGTTTCGACAAGAATTCTTGGGAATTGCACTGAAATTTCATATACCTACATACTTACTTAATCTCTCAAAATTTTATCAAAATTTGATGTTAATTTCATGGGAATTTCACGGTTACTTCATTTAATTCCACAAGAAAATTCCGGAATTCCACTGAATAGTGTTTTTTTTTTCGGAATTCCATGAAAATTTAAGGAAACTTTTCGATATTTCACTGACATTACATGTAATTTTTTAAGAATTCCGCGTTAATTTTATGTACATTTTTTGGAATTCTTTGTAATTTTCCCCTCTAAGTAGGTAATTCAATAAGAATTTTTCGGAATTCCGATGAAATTCCAAGTTATTTTGAAAATTTCCTTTAATTTCATGGGAATTTTACGGATATTTAAAATGTAATTTCACATTTTGTTTTTCGGAATTCCACTAATATACCTAGTGTTTTTTTTTTTTTTGGAATTCCATTGAAAATTTTAAGAAACAATTTTTTTTTTTTTGATTTCTTTGGAACTCCATGCAATTTCTCCGGAATTCCGTGTGATTCGACAAAAATTCTTTGGAATTACACTGAACTTCCATTTAACCTCTCAAAATTTCATGGAAAATCGATGTAATTTCATGGAAACTTTACAAATATTTCTTGTAATTCCATGGAAAAAAATTCATTGGAATTTCACCAACATTTCATGTATGTAATTTGTTGGCAATTCCGCGATAATTTTATATAGGGTACTTAATTTTTTCGAATTCTGTGTAATTTCTCCAGTATATCCGGATTTCCATTGAAATTCAATGTATTCTTTTGAAATTTTATCGAAATTTGATGTAATTTCATGGGAATTCCACGGTTAGTTCATGTAACTTCACAATATTTTTTTCGGAATTCCATAAAAATGTTAGGAAACTCCTTGGACTTTCGCTGGCATTTTATGTAATTCCAAGGATATTTTATGTAATTTCACAAAAAAAAAAATCGGAATTCCACTGGAATAGTGTTTTTTTCTGGAATTCCATAAAAATTTTAGCAAATTCTTCGGAATTTTATCCACCTTTCATGTATTTTGTTGAAAATTCCATGGTAATTTCATGTATTTTTTTTTCAAATTCTTTCGAATTCCGTGCAACTTCCCAGAAGGTCATGTAATTCGATAAGAATTCTTCGGAATGGCACTGAAATTCCATGTAATCTTTCAAAATTTTATCGAAATTTGATGTGGTGTGTTTTTTTTTTAAAGATAGAAGTCAAAATGACATTCATTATGTTGGCAATACAATGTAAAAGTGTCAATGCTTTTAAATTTTTTATGTAGAAAAGGCTTGTGTTGCCAACATAGTTATTAAATTTTTGACTTGGGGAATTATCTTTAAACAAAAAACAGACTTTATATGTATAGGGTATCCACTTAGTGCGATATCGGATGATATCTCCTTACAGGGCGATGCAAGAAAAAAAAAAATTAAATTTCAAAGTTATTTGATACTCTAATATGCATTAGTTAAAAATATTTTCGAATATACAGGGTGATCCGTTTATGGGGTATGCGACACAACTTTGTTATTTCAAATAAAACACCCTGTATGTGATTGCATATTTGATTTCTACGCAAAATTCTGAACAGATTTCATGTAATATACAGGCAGTATATTTTAAGTGATACCACTATTACAATATCCGAAACGGTAAGAGCTACAAGGTCGGTTAAATTAGAGAAAAGTTGCCTATTTTGATGCCCATTCAAAACTTGTTTACAGTGTTGTCAAATTCCTTTTAGTTTATGAAATACAGGGTGATTTCTTAAAAACGCCAAAAACTATTTCATCAACTATTTCGAAAACTATTGATATTCGAGATACAATTTAAGTTTGAAAGTTTTATAATTTTTTTCGCTCTACAACATGGCATCTTCAAATTTTAAATCCGACATTTCGTGATCGAGCTTCCATCATCAACTTCATTTTTTTTAATACGGACCTGGTCTTTTTATGTCATTTTTACAAAGGGAATAAAAGGCACTTTCTAAAAATGACATAAAAAATCCAGGTCCGTATTTAAAAAAATGAAGTTGATGATGGTAACTCGATTACGAAATCTGATGACACCATATTGTAGAGCGAATAAAATTAAAAAACTTTCAAATTTAAATTGTTTCTCGAAAATCTATATTTTTCAAAATAATTGATGAAATAGTTTTGGGCGATTCTTATAAATCACCCTGTATTTCATAAACTAAAAAGAATTTGGCAACACTGTAAACGAGTCTTAAATGGGCATCAAAAAGGGCAACTTTTTTCTAATTTAACCGACCTTGTAGCTCTTACCGTTTCGGATATAGCAATAGTGGTATCACTTAAAATATATACCCTGATACCCTATACCTTAGTTCAACTGTTTTGGAAATATTGACAGTTAAAAATTGACTTTTTGTAACTTTGACAGGCTGTAAAACCTAAACGTTTAATTTTAGACGAAAACCGATCTTACATTCCTATCTTAGATTTTCATAAACTATCATTCAACACCAACTTTGAATTTAACCGGAGATTAAATTTAACTGGAATTTTTAATCATGGATTAAATTCAAAGTTGGTGTCAAATGATGATGATAAAATCGGTTTTCGTCTAAAATTAACCGTTTATAAGTTTCAGTCTGTCAAAGTTGCAAAAACTCAACTTTCAACTGTCAATATTTCCAAAACAGTTGAACTTAGGTATAGGGTACCTATATTACATAAAATCTGCTCTGAATTTCACGAAGAATGCAATCACATACAGGGTGTTCCATTTAAAATAACAAAGCTCTGTCGCATACCTCATAAACGAAGCACCCTGTATATTCAAAAATATTTTCAACTAATGCATATTAGAGTATCAAACAACTTTGTAATTTGAATTTTTTTTCTTGCATCACCCTGTAAGGAGATATCATCCGATATCGCACTAAGTGGACACCCAGATATCAGGTTATTTAACAAAAAAATTCGGAATTCCATAGAAAAAATTTAGGAAATTTCTCTGACATAATATGTTGGGAATTCCGCGGTAATTTCACGTGATTTCTTTGATGTCTTTGAAACTATAGAATTTTATGAAATTTTTCTGAATTCCACCACAAAATTTCATAGAATTCTACTGAAATTTCAAATTATTCCATGGGAATTCCCCGGAAATTTCATGTAATTTTACGAGAAATTTTATTTTTTCCAAAATGACCTTTACACACATTTTGCTTCACAATCTTGTTAATTTCGATCCGATCTTAACGTAATTAGGCTCAAATTAAAGCCAAACAAATCAAATTCTATACAAATCACTACTGAACAATTTCAATGTAGGTCCAACAATTTCGCAGCTGTGTAGATTTAAAGTCTTCAAACTTTGATTTGTATCAAGGTGAGCAAATATTAGGAATTTTTATTCCTTATTCTTTCATTTGAAAAATAAAGAAAATTCAAGAGCCTGGAATAGCCAAAATTGAAATAAAAACATGAGAAATAGAGCAAAATTTTTTCTTTCAACTTGATACTTATGGTTTTTCAATAAGATGTTATACATTACACGTGCTAAAAACTAGACGACATCAAAATATTTCTTAGGAAAATTAAACACACCCGAAAATATTTGTATTTCTTTTAAGATTCTTTCTGGTTGATTGTCGACCTGTGGAGCATTACAACGCCGGCCATTTACCTACAGCATTTCATTTAGATTGCAATTTAATGCTTCAAGAGCCTAGTGCCTTTGCTACGGCCGTTCAGGGTCTTTTAAGTGCACAAAGACAAGCTTTAGCTCACAACTCAACAGCAGGTGATAATTCTTTTAAATAAAAATCAAACCAAAATATTTCAATATATTTTTCTTAGGTGGTGAACATTTATGCTTCCTAGGATCAGGAAGCAACGAAGAAGATCAATATACTCACATGATTGTGGCTTCGTTTTTGCAAAAACACACCAAATACGTTTCTCTATTGACTGGTGGCTATTTGGCACTACATGATTATCTGTCTGATAATTTGGGTTACTTGCAGGACCACAGTCCTAGGCATTGCATTGTTTGCATGCCAAATTTCACAGCCAAACTTGAGAGGCAGGCCAACGTAAAAACGCCAGGCCAATCTGGTGATTTGTTTGGTAAAATATCAGCAGCGATGAGGTCCAAGTCTGCAGAGGTAACTGGAAAACTGATCGAATATATTGTGAATCCCAGCAATAGTCCTGTGCAAGAGAGGCACGTTTCTAGCAACGATAGAATTGGCAGGAGATATAGGGATGTTGCACCAGTATTTAGTATAGATGATGATCATGATAATGTGGCTAATATTGAGGTAATTAGAGTTGATATTTAAAATAAAATAATAATAATAATAATTATTTTTAGGAGCAAGAAAGAGAAGACAATCACGAAATGGTCCAAATCCAATCCTACTTGAAAAAACCTGAAATAATCCAGCATTTTCCTTGTCAAGAAGTGAGAATGAATGGAGCAATGTTCAAAAGTCATCTGATAGTTACTGAATGTGAGCTAATAGTACTGAGGGAAGTGCCTGAATCTAGAGGTGCAGCCGAAGTGATTGTCAAACGCCCTCTATCAGCTATAGTGAAAATAACTGCTAGAAAAAGGCATCCAGAACTGATTACTTTCAAATATGGGGTACCTGATGGGGAGAATTTGAAAATATCCGATATGGATAGATTTTTGATTCCTAACGCTGACAAGGCAACGAAAGTTGTTTCTGATCAGATTTTGAAACAATTAAAAGCTAAAGAATAAGTTATATGTATTAAAACAAAAAAGTTTATATTAAGTGTTAACCATTTTTTAAGATAATGCTTGTATGTAGTTAACATTTTTATTTGTTGAATTTTTTGAGTCTATATAATAAATATCTTAATGTGGTTTATGTTTTGACTATACTTGAAAAAAGAAGCCGATTACAAACTACAATAATATCACAAAAAAAAAAAATCTACTCTGGATTATTAGTTTGCTGAATAAAAAGCTTATTTTTCTGTCTAGTTATTTTCGCTTGGGGCGGCGGAAGTACGTTCTGAAGTTGCCTGGGAACTACTTCAGTAGTACGCGCTATTCGAGTTATTCTTGTAATTAGACTGCTCTTATCCATTTTACTTGTAGCACCACTCACTGGCCTTGGTATAGCTTGTTTACCTTTAAAAATTAATTTAATCAAATTGCTATTCAATAGAGTATTAAAACAACTAACCAAATATTCTCAATCCTCTGCTGGTATCACCTCCAGCTGCTCCACCATCGTCAGCCAAATGCCTCAAAACAAGATGAATTTTATCTTCGTGCTGTTGCTGCAAATGTATAACACGTCTTTCCCCTTCTAGTCTGACTTGTTGTAAATTGTGACTCAAATTCTGGACTCTACTGATGAGAGTTTCGTTTTGATTTTCATAGTCAATTACTTGTAGTTCTAGTTTTTTGCCACTCAAACGAAGCTCAATAACCTAAAGAATTTCTTGTATTGGATGAAATATTATATTTTGAACAAAAATTACCTTTTGAAAATATCTGTACAACAACATGCGCATTTCGTTTTCACTCAAATGCATCAATCTATCCATGAGCATGACATCTCCAGGCTCTTCTACGATTTCCACTGTTTTATCATTTATACTTTTATGCCCACACAAAAGTTCATTTTTATATTCTATAGCCAAATCAATAGCTTCAATAGCTTCTTCATATTGCAGCAGCTTCTTTTCTTCAATTTCATTAAGTATTTTTTTGTTTTGCGACTTCGTATCTATTTGACATCGTTGCTCAACAAGATACTCTCTAGTTTTTCGCAGATTTCGAATTTCGTGTCTGTATCTTTCGAGTTCTTCACTAGATAGCGACAAACTGTTTTCTTCCAGGTCAGAATTTGATAGTTTCAGTAAAACCAAAGCTTTAGAATCGTCGTAGCTTTTTGGAGTTTCATTAGAAGTGTTAGTATTTTTGTTTTCTATTATTGAAGATTCGCATGTTTGCTTTTTTCGTTCTTCGCGTCTTTTGAGCTTTATGACTTTTTCCATTTGCTTTTTTGACATCAGCAAACTGCCTTCCAGCTCTTGCAAACGTTTATTGTCGTCCTCTGTCATGTTTTTCAAGACTTCAACGTCTTTTAGTTTGGTTTCTACTTCGCCTAGTTCTTCGCGATATTTGGTTTCTAGGAAATGATTGTTGTTTTTACGTGCCAAAGTTACTTTGTCTTGGGTGCTTCTGAGCTCTCTTTTTAATTTTTGGCATTTTTGTTCGATTTTACTGTGCGCATTCGATTTTGTGTCTTTGTGTTGCAACAGTTGCGCTATATGGTTTTCTTTTACTTTTATCGTTTGATCTAAGTCGGCCATTTGTTTATCGTAGCCTTTGATTACAAGATTTATCTGTGTTGATATAAAAAAAATTATGATAATTTTGTTTATTTTAAATGAGTCACTACTAGGCCTTGTAGAGTAAAAATTAAAGTCCTTACCTGTTTTAACATTTTTTTCTTTGACCCTACATTGATTGGTTTGTCAAATAAATCCTTACGATTGTCCCCTACATTCACATCTTCTTCGCTGAAGACTGACGAGTTGAATGAATCTTGCTTTTGATGTTGCAATTCCTCAAAGGAATGAATACTGGTTCGTCTACCTCTGGCGCCTGAATTTTTATCAAAAATTTTATAGGAGATTTAGGAGTTTCAGTTACAAACCTTTATGGTAATGAGGATAGTTTGAACTGCTATTTATACTATCCACAAGTGGGGTCCTAGATGTTATATCGATAATATTAGCTTTGTTGACTAGATCATCAGTTTTTTGTTGAAATACTGCCATGAGCTCATCCAATCTATAAAAACAAATACAGGATTAATATATTATTGAAAATTATTTGGAAAATCCTAGAAAACTGAAGGAATTTGAGGTAAATTTTTGGATTTTTAATTTCCCTGAGGTTCTTTTTTTAAAGATTTCGGTTTCAAATCCTACAATAAATCACTGTAAAGAGTTTCAGGTTTCTGGGATCCTAATTGATCATCCAAAATGGATTAAGAAGAGTTTGAAATTTGAGAAAAAAGAAAACGTCTGCTCCCTTTCTTGGATTTTTGTACTTCGAAGTGTACAGAAACATAAAGAAAATTCAAGAGCCTGGAATAAATAAATAATTAGATAAAAAAAATAAGAAAGTAGGTACATAGGATTGAATTCATACTAACATGGAAAGGTTGAGGAAATAGTCAGAAACAGGAAAATACCAGTGGCGTACACTCAAAGGGTAAACCACCATCCCAGAATTGGTGCAAACAATTCCTCAAAGGGGAATTTTTTAAGGATAATTCCTCAAAATTCCTGCAAATTCCTCCAAATATCCCATCACAAATTCCTGCGAATTCCTCCAAACTCCTCTCAAATTTCCCACAAATGTCTCTTACAAATTCCCTGAAAATGAGGAATATTGGAAATCAACCTACAATAACTGAATTAATTGAAAATACAGTATCACATGTTTCAAAGATTTCCTGAAAACTAGTGAAGGGAAAACTTTGAAACTTTTCGCATGTAAAGAGGAAGCTGAGAAGCTCATTTTCCCAAAATTTCAAGTTTTTCCAGTAGGAAACAGCAACATGAAAAATCTTGGAAATCAACCTAGAAAAACTGAATTAGTTTAATATACAGTCTCACACATTTCAAAGTTTTCCTGGAAAACTAATGAAGGGAAAATTTTGAAACTTTTTGTATGTAAAGAGGAAGGTGAGAAGCTCATTTCAAATTTTTCCAATGAAAAATTACAACATGAGAAATCTTGGAAATCAACCTACAATAACTGAATTCTCGACTGAATTAATTGAAAATACACTCAAAAATACAGTACCTATCACATATTTCAAAGTTTTCCTGAAAAACTAGTGAAGGGAAAATTTTGAAACTTTTTGCATGTAAAGAGGAAGCTGAAAAATTCATTTTCCCAAAATTTCAAGTTTTTCCAGTAGGAAACCGCAACATGAAAAATCTTGGAAATCAACCTACAAAAACTGAATTAGTTGAAAATACAGTCTCACAAATTTCAAAGTTTTCCTGGAAAACTAGTGAAGGGAGAAATTTGAAACTTTTTGCATGTGAAGAGGAAGGTGAGAAGATCAGTTTTCCAAAATTTCAAATTTTTCCAGTCAAAAACAGTAACATGAAAAATCTTGGAAATCAACCTACAAAAAATGAATTAGTTGAAAATACAGTCTCACACATTTCAAAGTTTTCTTGGAAAACTAGTGAAGGGAAAATTTTTAAAAACTTTTTGCATGTAAAGAGGAAGGTGAGAAGCTCATTTTCCCAAAATTTCAAATTTTTCCAGTAGAAAATTACAACATGAGGAATCTTAGAAATCAACCTACAATAACTGAATTAATTGAAAATACAGTCTCACACATTTAAAACTCGATTTCAAAGTTTTCCTGGAAAACTAGTGAAGGGAAAATTTTGAAACTTTTTGCATGTCAAGAGGAAGGATTAGAAGACCATTTTCCCAAAATTCCAAATTTTTCCAGTGAAAAACAGAAACATGAAAAATCTTGGAAATCAACCTACAAAAACTGAATTAGTTGAAAATACAGTCTCACACATTTCAAAGTTTTCTTGGAAAACTAGTGAAGGGAGAAATTTGGAACTTTTTGCATGTAAAGAGAAAAGGTTAGAAGCTCACTTTCCCAGAATTTTAAATTTTTCCAATGAAAAATAACAACATAAGGAATATTGGAAATCAACCTACAATAACTGAATTAATTGAAAATATAGTCTCACACATTTCAAAGTTTTCCTAGAAAACTAGTGAAGGGAAAATTTTGAAACTTTTTGCATGTAAAGAGGAAGGTGAGAAGATCATTTTCCCAAAATTTCAATCTTTTCCAGTGAAAAACAGTAACATGAAAAATCTTGGAAATCAAACTACAAAAACTGAATTAGTTGAAAATACAGTCTCACACATTTCAAAGTTTTTCTGGAAAACTAGTGGAGGGAACATTTTGAAACTTTTTGCATGTAGAGAGGAAGGTGAGAAGCTCATTTTCCCAAAATTTCAAATTTTTTCATTGGAAAATAACAACATGAAAAATCTTGGAAATCAGCCTACAAAACTTGGTAGGTATTCATTATTCTTTTGAATTTTTTAAATTTGAAAATTTCCTTTAAATTCCTCATAAATTCCTCACAAATTCTCCCAAATTCCCCATATATTCCTCCAAATTCCCTATAAAATCCCTAAATTCTCATAAATTCCGATGAGTTCCTTCAAATTCCCTACAAATTCCTCTAAATTTCCCACAAATACCCCACATTTTTGGCAAAGAATTCCTAGGTGGTTTGCCCCTTGCGTACACTCGATTGACCTATGAACGAATGGAGAACCATACGAAAATATACGAAATTGTATATATTATTCAAAAACTGTCCATAGGATTGAATTCATACTAACATGGAAAGGTTGAGGGAATAGTCAGAAACAGGAAAATACCAGTGGCATACCCTCGATCGCCTACGAACGAATGGAAAATCGTACGAAAATATACAAAACTGCATGATTATTCAAAAACTTGTAAGTAATGGAAATACAAGAAAACTAGAAAACTTGTGGAGTATGTTTTATCATTTTGCAGAAATACTGAGAAAAATACTGAAAATGAAAAATACAGAAATTCCTCCCCTTATATTTGAAACATTAATTTATTGTGTGATTTGCATATTATGTTCCAATAGTCCATAGAAATTGAAGAAACTTTTTTGGAAATACCCTCGGCAATACCTAATACCAAAGGCAACACCTAATTTTATGGAAGTCATTGCAACTTTAATGGCAATAATACCTTAAATTGTGGAAGAATCATAGTAAATTATTTGAAGGAATAGTGGTGTATACAGTTATAATAATTCTTACATGGATTGACCTTCACCATCTTCACTCAACCCCTCATCACTTTCCGACCTCTCTGTAGTTTCCTCATCACTAAAATCTTCCTCCTCTTCACCCTCTTCCTCAATCCTTTCCAGCGATCTATGCGGCTCAGAAGTATCACTCAAACATTCTTCACACTCTTGCTTCATCATCAACCATTCAGAAATTTGTTCCAACTCGGATTTCTTCAAATCGCCAGCAGTGACAAGCCTCTGGAACAATTCTTCAGCGTTGACAACTAGTTTCAGCAGCTGATTGGCAGCAAATTGCAAACCAAATATGTCCAAGTTTTCTTGAGCGTTTTCAGAAGTTGTGTATGAATTAACAGTGACAAAGTTTTTGATTAGTTGAGCCCTTGTGGCTATTGCTAGGGTATAAGCAGTTTCACCAAAATCTTGTACAAGGGGTGAAATGCAACACATGAATACTGTTTTTGCTCTGCCACCAAACGAGTCTCTTAATAAAGTAGTTAATACTGATTGGGCATAAGGAATTTGGTTTGGATAAAATGGAATGTTTCTTAAATATTGCTCTGATAATGTCATAATACAATTTTGCAGTGCCTGAAGTCCCACTTCATTTGGTATAGTTTGTATTTGTTGCCCATCATGGACAATCATTTTTTCGCTGGCAGCCAAATCAGCAAAACTAGCTGTGGACACTCTGTGCAGCACAGAAGAATCAGCTACAGATTGTTGTTCTAGAGTAAGAGTAAATAAGTTGTGAGTACATTTGCCAGCTAAACTAGAAAGCCCTAATTGTATAAACTGAAAAGCTTCTAAAATGTCTTCAATTTCAACACTAGTGCTGCCCAATAAGTCTTGGATAGAATCCCCATTTATCTGAGACCAGGTTATATGCAAGGACCATGTTACTTCTTTGTTGTTAACAGTTTTGAGCTTTGTAAGGACTTCTCGTATGAATCTTGGCACAATGCCGTGCTCCATTTCACTGGCAGCACAATGCAAACCAGGTCCATAAAGGGTGTAGGTTTTGCCAGTTTGGGCCTGGCCAAAAGTGACCACACTAACATCGCAGCCCTCTAAAAAATATGAGACTAGAGGCTCTATTGTACTTACGAAAACGGTGTTTTGGGAACAATTAAAAGGCAATGCATTGCATACAGGGTAGGTTTGATTGTTGGAGATTTTGATTAAGTTGTTCAAGGTGTCGCTTTCCACGCATATTTCTGGACTGTTGCCTGAAATGGGGCATATTCTTATGGCTGTTTCTATTCGAGATTCCATGGTTTTAGTACAATAATCACTTTCAGGTTCAAAAAACTTTGTAATTCATAATGGGCAATACTTTTCCAGGTTGTTTGTATGTTGAATTACATTGATGGTTATTTGTTTATGGAGATTTGTATAATAATAATTTTATCAGCAACAAAAAACATAAAAACATTTTTCTGACATTTGGCTGACAGTAAGTTGTTTATAGTCATTCATTTGCGTATTGACCCATTGCAGTCTATGTTTTTGTCTCTTTCTAACAGAATGTTAAAGAAAGGGAAAGATATACTTTTCTCTTATAGTCAAAAAATGTCAAAATTTTATTGAGGTTAGTTTTTATGTGTATGTGGTTTTTATTTCATCATATTCATTTTTTTGGAAATATTTGGATTATTCCTGTTTTTAGTTGTTGAATTATCAAAAAACTGTTCATTCTGGTCAAAATAATGAACTTCTCCAGTGTCCATCATCATTTCTCTGGATAATAGTTGAATTATCCAGAATCCATCATGATTTTCCATTACCTGTGTCTACTTTTTGCCATAATTTCGTCGTCCTCTTGTTTGCCGGATCAAGGAAAATGGGATTTTGAAGTCACTTCGGTAAATATCAACTGAGATAACTTCATTTGTGTGAGCAATTAACTTGTTTTTCATTTGCAGAGCAGTAGGCCCATTTTTCTCAGTAAAAATGTCTTCAAGGGAGCCAAAGTTTATATCAAAAGTAAGTTAATACTTCATTTTATACTTTCTCCAGGGATTTGCAATAATATAATAGGTAACAGTTTCATATGTCTCCAACACCTAATTTTGAATAAATTTTGTAAAATATGATTAAATAAGTGTCTAAATAGATAACTTCAATGTAAATTATTTGGTGCAAATGGTATATAAATTAAAAAAAAATATATATATTTATATAAAATATATGTTGGGGATTTATTAAATAATTACCCCTAAGTAACATTTTCATATATCCCCAACACCTAACTTTGTACAATATGATCGAATTAGTGTCTAAATAGATATGTAGTTTCAACTAAAATTATTTGGTGCAAATGATTTATAAGCAAATACCTATATAAAAAAATGGTTCATAAGATAAAATATATGTTGGCGGTTTATTAAATAATTACCCCTAACTAAATATTTAGTATATCCCCAACACCCAATATTGACAAACATGCAAAACGATTGAAAAACCAATCACTGCCTAGTAGAGCTAGTTGCCTCGTGGCGCTCAGCTAGTTAAAAAGAATCAATCATAACTGGATCTCACCCATCTCACCCTGGAGCTCAAATTCTATTAAAAATTCGAAAAAAAAAGCAATCCTAACTGGCGCTCACCCTGGGTGCTTAGGTACTATTGTAAATTAAAAAAAATATTTATTTGGATATTTATTATAAACAACAAACATTTATTCAATTAACAAAACTACAACTAACAACAACTTCTAAACAAATAATTTACGGCTCCGGTTGAAAAGAACGATATTCAAAACGGCGATATTCAAAATGGCGGTCTCATTTTAACGACATTCAAAACATCGACATTTAAAAAGGGCGACAAATCAAAACAGCGACTTATCAAAAGAGCGACATATTAAAACCGCGACATTTGAAACGACGACATCTAAGCAAAACAGCGACATATCAAAAGAGCGACATTCAAAAGCGCGATACATTAAAACAGCGACTTTGGAAAAGAGCGACATATTATGAAAAGAACGGAATTTAAAACAGCGACATTTGAAACGGCGACCTCTAAACAAAAGAGCGACACATCAATTTGAATCAATAATGATCGAGAAAATGTAGACTTACTCAAACTAATCCGAAATAACCTGTCCGTCTAGTGCGATCTAGTCCTGGTAAGTTAGCATTTTATTTGAAAAACAAAGCGAGCTCCAGGGACGCTACTCTATAACTAAATTAACTTTGTCAGGCAACGTCAGTACCAAGCTTACTATGACTGTATGAAGAAATTGTTGCTACAACATTTTTTATGATATCTTTAATTGTCAACATCTCTTTACTGAGCTCTATCTCTAACAGTGAACAATCTCATACCGGGCTATCTCGTTAATAACCTGTCCCCGTAATGCCTGCTAAACCTCGAAATTATGTCAATGTTAGGTGTTGGGGATATACTAAATATTCAGTTAGGGCTAATAGTTTAATAAATCCCCAACGTATATTTTATATAAACGTGTTTTTTTTTAGATTTATAAATCATTTGCGCCAAATTATTTTAGTAGAAATTATCTATTTACACACTAATTTAATCATATTGTAGAAAATTCAGTCCAAATTGGGTGTTGGGGATATACTAAACAATTACCATATAATATTTGCAAGTATATGCTAGTTATGAAATGAAGAAGAAAAAGTTCAAAAACGTTTCTTATGTCTATCTTCACATTAAGGAAAATCTCGAGGAAAATAATAATATTATAGGTACATACGTCTCTTACAGATCCATGCTTGATAGTTTCAATCGAGGTTTCAATATGATTAGCCTATCAACTCGAAGGAAAATACAGGCTGTCATGTTCATTTAGGTACTATATTTTAAACTATTTGAAATACTCGTTGAAATATAAGGGCTTACCTAATATTATGATTAGTATGCCAAAAATACATTTAAGAATATCATATAGGGAATCATCCCGGGAATCATTTACCTCGCCATTTACCAATGAGGTGCTAATAAGCAGTAGGAATCTGGATATTTTCATTTTTCAACGCTAGCATTAATCAGCTGAGAAAACTTTTAAGGAATTCGAGGTGAACAGGGTGAATGTTTGGAATATTCAATTTTTCTGAGATCTCTTTTTCATATATTTTGGCTCCAAATCCCACAATAAATCACTTTATGAGATTCTTATCCCAGTAGAAGACTACAATCCCTGCAAATTTCAGCTCATCTGGACTTGTAGTTCCAGAAATAAAATCATGTTAAGCAATTTGGGGTGATTTACCAATTTTTCTAAGTGACTTTTTCATAGAATCCGGCTGCAAATCTGAGAATAATTTAGTGTATGGAGTTTAGAGGGTGCCAAAGGAACATTAGCACAGAAAATCTCAACAAAAAAAAATTGAAATTTCATCGTTTTAGTACTAAGTTAGCTACCTTATGATTTAGATTTTGGAAAACTTTCAGAAGTTATAACTTTTTTTCTATTAAAGATAAAAAGCTGAAATTTTCAGCGATTCTTATCCCAGTAGTGGACTACAATCCCTGAAAATTTCAGCTCATTTGAACTTATATTTTCAGAAATAAAATTGTGTTAAGCAGTTTGGGATGAATTTATCAATTTTTCAATTTTTCTGAGTGCCTTTTTTATAGATTTTGGCTTCAAATCTCAGAATAATTTAGTGTATGGAATTTGGGGGATCCCAAGTGATCATTTAGACACAAAATCCCAACATAAAAAAATTTGACATTTAATCATTTTAGTACTGGGTGATTGTCTATAGGTCTGTTTCTGCAGAAATCACAAACCAGTCAGAGTGAATTTCATTGGTTGAAACTAGTTTTCTGACTGTTTCTGACCGTTTACAACCAATGAAATTCGCTCTGACTGGTTTGTGATTTCTGCAGAAACAGACCTTATATTTTGCACCTATCTCACTTGTTTGAAGAGATACCCAAAAATGTCAAATGTGAAAGTTGTAGGTAATATCAGAAAGTTTTTAATGAAGTAAGTTACAAATATACAGGATGTGTCACAAAATCGTGGCAAAGCAAAGTTGAACTATTTTAAATGGACAACTCTATACAGGGTGTCCCACAGTGGATGGCGTATTAGACGTTTATGGAGAACTAAAAAGCCGATCATTCTGAAAATTTGGCAACCGAGATAAACGACCACAATCTACACTTTAAAAATATTTTTGTTTATGCGGTGTTGCCGCTTCTACTCTAAACCAGTGGCAACATCGCTATTTTAAATAGAACACCCTGTATATGATTGCATTTTTAGATTCAACGTAAAATTCTGAACAGATTTCATGTGATATATCCTATACCTAAATTCAACTGTTTTGGAAATATTGACAGTTGAAAATTGACTTTTTGCAACTTTGACAGGCTGTAAAACCTAAACGGTTAATTTTAAAGGAAAACCGATTTTACATTCCTATCTTAGATTTTGATAAACTATCATTTGACACCAACTTTGAATTTAACCGGAGATGAAATTTAATTGGAATTTTTAATCATGGATTAAATTCAAAGTTGGTGTCAAATAATTTTTTATAAAAATCTAAGATAGGAATGTAAAATCGGTTTTCCTCTAAAATTAATCGTTTAGGTTTTACAGCCTGTCAAATTTGCAAAAAGTCAATTTTCAACTGTCAATATTTCCAAAATAGTTGAACTTAGGTATAGGGTATATCACATGAAATCTGTTCAGAATTTTGCGTAGAATCCAAATATGCAATCATATACAGGATGTTCTATTTAAAATAGCGATGTTGCCACTGGTTTAGAGTGGAGCGGCAACACCGCATAAACAAAAATATTTTTAAAGTGTAGATTATGGTTCTTCTAGAAACATGAAGTGAATAAGGACCTTTGTTCCTTTTAATGTATGAAGAAGCTTCTCCATCCCGATTATTTTCTATTCATTATTAACAATAGAATAAAAATTCTAGGGCGCCTTTCTAGAATTTTTATTCTTGTTTGATAATGAATTTTTACATTTGAATATGCTAACATGGAAATCGCAATAATATTATGTAGAACATGGAATGCTTCAATACCAAACTCACTCAATGAGAAGAAGTAGCTTATGAACGTTTTGATGATGCTATATCACAACTTACTTCATTCATTCATCAATCAGCTCTTTCATGTTGTAGAGAGATTCCTTCCACATTTTGCCTTATAGTTGCTCGAAATTCTACTGATTTCCGCAGTAGTAAAACAGCTGGTTACAACATGTTGCATTGATGTGTTTCTTTAAAAAAATTATATTCGTGTAGTTTAATCTTGCCAACCACAAGAATTTATGTACATTTGAAATTTTTACAGGAAAATTAAGGGTTTATCAATCAAGATTTCAAGAATTGATCAAGAGGCACTAAATATTTGTTGGTATTTACGAAATTTAATAATTTGTACACTAATCAATTATTATTAGAAAATTCGGTCAAGAATAATTACTAAAACTGGAAATTATTTATTTTTATTTTTTCAATGCTCAATGAGGGTAAATAGTCTACTGAACAAAATAAAAATAGATGATTTCTTTTCTCATCTAAACCAAAGCTTGTTTACATTACTCTGATCCCTTTTTTTTACTTCAGTGATGATTCATCAATTATGTAGGTATAATAATATTGATATAAATAAATCCTTCCATTTGCTTTACTTGCCGAAATGGACATATCTCAGATTGTCTTGAAAATCCAATTTTATTCAAAACAAATTATTAACAAAATATTTACACTAACAATTTAAAACCTTATTTTATTCTGTTTGCCACTTTATGAATGTAATGTTTCTGGAAAGACTGTGCAAAATCTCTTTAAAAATCAGTACCATCTACAAAAAATCCAAAAATTCAACTATTGCTATCGATAACTAAGGTACCGTTTCCAATAATTTTCCTATGCTTGGATATGGTACAACCTCTAGACCAGTGGTTCCCAAACTGCGCCCCCCTTAGGGGGCGTGAAGCAACATTAAGGGGGGCGTAAATCGTCTAAAAAATTAATACAAATTTTGAGCTTTAAAATATAAAAAATCAGTTGAAATTTAACAGCGCGGCAACAGCGCATACCTTAGCCAAAGCAGCTTTGCAATGCGATCATTGGGTACATTCAGGCGGTGCCAGCGGCTTAGTTCAGCCACTCAGCAGGAACTTTATTCTCAAAACAGGGGAGCAGCGTTCTCATTGAAACGAAGGTTCTGTCTTTGTCGTCCGGCATAACACTGACAATGACAGAGTAATTGTTCTTATAAGAACGTTGTTCTTTGGTTTCGAGAATCAAGTTCCTGCTGAGAGGCTGAGCTAAGCCGCTGGGACCGCCTGAATGTACCCATTGCTACAGCGTACGCTCGCTGCCCACTGTCATGCCCATTAGGCCATTCCTCCCCTTCCAAAGTCCAGTTCAGACGAATACAGTGAAAATAATTATTTTTTTTTGTATAATGGGGAAAGAAAGGGAGGCGCGACCACTTCTTGATTTCAGAAAGGGGGCGCAAAAGAAAAAAGTTTGGGAACCACTGCTCTAGACCAATATGAGTCATAACAGGTCTTCAAAAAAAATCAAAAATTTAGTTGATTACGAAAACGTACATACACTTGGCCAATCATAAAACGTGTAAGCATTTTCCTATTGGGTTATATTGTGTAAATCGACCTTTTTTGTCACCTAAACAATGACAAAAAGAGTCAAATCAGTGTCATATTTAAACCAATCATAACATAAAAACATGTTGCATTTACTTTTGTTCACCTGTGACGTTGACAAAAACTGTTGACTTTTTGTTGTTAAGCCTGATTCACACTAGGCAAATTTGAAAATATGTATTGCCTGTAAAGTTTTTTTTTTTTTTTAAAGATAATTCCCTAAGTCAAAAATCTAGTGACTATGTTGGCAACACAAGCCTTTTCTACACAAAAATTTGAAAGCATTGACAATTTTATATTGTATTGCCAACATAATGTCATTTTGACTTTTATAAAAAAACAGACTTTACCAGTTTTATATTTGGCCAAGTGTATGTCGTATGTCGCGCATTAGTGTTTCTTTATTGGTTTTTTGACATGACATTTGACATTAAAGTTCATCAAAATTAAAGAAAAACATTGCTAATGGCCGTTTCCACCAACTATTTTAGGGGAGCCCTAACGATAAGTATTCCCTAAAAATGACATTTTTACATGGAGAAATGTCAGTTTAAGGTATAAAATCTGTTTTTTTTTAAAGATAATAATAGATTATACCACGAGTCAATAATGATAGTTATTATTCCCGAGGAATATTTACGAACTGAGCCGCGTTAGCGGCGAGGGACAGGGGAGTAACATTCCGAGGGAATAATAGCCATTATTGCGAGTAGTATACTCTACTTTATTTAGGACAAATTAATTTATTTGAGATTTTTAATGAACAAATTTCATCCATTACAATTTTCAATAGAAATCCACAAGCACTACAAGTTTGACACTGACACTTTTGAGGAATAATGACCATTAATCCCGCTACTCGTCATTATTCCCGGGGGGAATAAAATATGTCATTATACTGCCAAAATCACAAGTAAAGCCTGTTTTTTTTTTAAAGATAAAAGTCAAAATGACATTATGTTGGCAATACAATGTAAAATTGTCAATGCTTTCAAATTTTTTATGTAGAAAAGGCTTGTGTTGCCAACATAGTTACTAAATTTTTGACTTGGGGAATTATCTTTCAAAAAAAAAACAGACTTTACGTTCAAAAAACCATAGCAATCTTACATTTTTTTTTTTTTTTTTTTGATGACCCAATACCTTAGCTTATAGTGTTTTCCATTTGTCAAACCAGTGCAAAAAAATGTATCCTTATCCTTACATGTTACATGCTTTCAGAAAAAAATTCGGATACACTCAGTGCACACTGATTGACAAATGGAAAACGCCATTAGTACCTACTCGAGTACCTGCTAAAATGATGAAATTTCAATTTTTTTTATGTTGATATTTTGTGTTTAAATGATCATTTGACATTCCCCAAACTTTATACACTAAATTATTCTGAGCAAAATCTATGAAAAAAGGCACTCAGTAAATTAATAAATTTACCAATTTATCCCAAATTGCTTAACGCTATTTTATTTTTGAAACTATAAGTCCAAATTTTCAGGGATTGTAGTCTTCTACTGGGATAAAAATCGCTGAAAATTTCAGCTTTCTATTATAATTAAAAAAAAAGTTATAATCTTTTAAAGTTCACAGAAATCTAAATCATAAGGTAGCTTAGTAAGTACTAAAATAATGAAATTTCAAATTTTTGTATGTTGAGATTTTATGTCTAAATGATTATTTGGGGCCCTCCAAACTCCATACACTAAATGTTTCCGAGATTTGAAGCGATATTCCATGAAAAAAGGCAATCAGAAAAATTGAAAAATTGATAAATCACCCCATATTGCTTAACATGATTTTATATCTAGAACTGTAAATCCAAATGAGCTGAAATTTTCAGGGATTTTAATCCTCTAGTAGGATAAGAATAGATGAAAATTTCAGCTTTCTATCTTCAATAAAAAAAAGTTATGATTTTTTAAAGTTCACAAAAATTTTTTTATGTTGATATTTTGCACGATTTTTTGTGTCTAAATGATCATTTGGGACCACCCAAACTCCATACACTGAATTATTCTGTGATTTGAAGCCAGATTCTATCGAAAAGGGCATTCAGAAAATTGATAAATTTACCAATTTATCTCAAATTGTTTAACGCGATTTTATTTCTGAAACTATACATCCAAATGAGCTGAAATTTTCAGGGATTGTAGTCCTCTACTGGGATAAGAATCGCTGAAAATTTCAGCTTTTTATCTTCAATAGAATAAAACGTATGATCATTTAAAGATTACAGAAATCTAAATCATCATTAAAATCTATGGAAAAAGGCACTCACAAAATTAATAAATTTACCAATCTACTCTGCATTGTTTAATGCGATTTTATTTCTGAAACTATAAGTCCAAATGAGCTGAAATTTTCAGGGATTGTAGACCTCCTCTCCTCTGATAAGAATCACTGAAAATTTCAGCTTTTTTTCAAAAATCCAAATTATTCTTTTTTTTTTTAATTTTAGTTATCCTCACCCTTTGATATATTTTTTTTTTCAGTAAACTGTGAAACTGATGTGGCCGACTCCGAAGTGAAACTCAATTTTGCCATCCTCCAATCGCCTTGCTGGGATCCCAGCGACAGTTTCGTTGAACTAAAAGAGGTAATTTCAGTCTCTCAATGAAAAACCCCATCTAACCTTTTTTTTTCCACTTTAGATTATGGAATCTTCAAGAGTGACAGTGAATTCTTCGCAAGTTTATCATTCCATTGAAACTTATCAGTGCAATGACCGCATTTTCTTGAAAGAAGGAACTTTGCCCGATAAAACTTCCAGAGACGAAAAAATTCATCCTTTGCATGAGTTCAGCCGTGATGGGGTCTATGTATTAGGCCTCGCTGTCACTACAGACAATCCAGATTTCGTCATAGGAGTTCATATCGAGATAAAAAGCGATTATGGTTATTTATCAGCAGTGGATTGGCCCTTGTTACCATTCTACGGATTTATGTGCATATACTATATAATTCTAGGACTGATTTGGTTGATATTATCTTTTATGCAATGGAGGGATTTATTGAGAGTCCAATTTTGGATTGGAGGTGTAATTTTATTGGGAATGCTCGAAAAGGCCACATTTTATGCTGAATATCAAAGCATCAATAATGTGGGAACTGAAGTTCAAGGTGCTATGATTTTTGCTGAATGGGTATCGTGTGGTAAAAGGACTCTAGCTAGAATGTTAGTTATAATTGTTAGTCTTGGTTTTGGTATTGTAAAACCTAGATTGGGGTCTACATTGCATAGAGTTGTGGGTGTAGGAATTTTGTATTTCTTTTTAGCAGCCTCGGAAGGTTATTTGAGAAATACTAAAACAAAATCCTCGAATGATAGAGATTTACTTGTGGCTTCTGTGCCTTTAGCTGTTTTGGATTCGGCAATTTGTTGGTGGATTTTTTCGGCTTTGGTTAATACTACTAGGACGTTGCGCTTGCGCAGAAACGAAGCTAAATTGGCTTTATATAGACATTTCACAAACACATTGATATTTTCTGTGGTTGCTTCTGTGATTTTTATGCTTTATTGCATCAAATTTCATCACTATGTTAAATGTTTAACTGTTTGGAAAGATATTTGGCTTGAAGATGCTTTCTGGCACATTCTATTTTCGATTATTTTATTAGTGATAATGATTCTTTGGAGACCGAATAATAATAATCAACGTTATGCTTTTGTACCCTTGCTGGATACAGGGGACGATAACGACGAGGAAGAGCATTTAGTTAATGATGCTTACGGGGTCAAAGTTCGGATTCACCATCAAAAACAACAACATTCTCCAAGGAATTCTGTTGATGATGATTTGAGGTGGTTGGAGGAGAATGTCAAAAGCGATCCTGCTTTGCCTATACTAGATTCGGACGAGGAACTAGTAAATACGCGTTTTGAGGTTTCCAAAATGCAGTAGGTGATATAACAACTTACTGAGTAGGGGTTTTGAATTTTTTCTTGTATATTTTTGTTATTGTGATAATTTATAGGATACAAGTCCTTGTACTTAAGGCTTAAGTTTTGAGTTTTGTTTGATAGAAAACCCTTTCGCAGTATTATGCTTAGTTATTTAATAATTACTAGGGCCATTTTTGTCAGTATCCATTTTAATGCGTTGTACATATTGCATATTGCTTATAAATAATAAAATAATACATAAAAAATTGAAAGATTTTTATTTTTAAACAATTGTTGTTTATCTTTTTTGGGAATTTACCTTTTAGATTGTTTTCTAAGAAACACTTCAGTCAATTATTAGAGATACTTTAGTACTCTGTCGAATCAAATGCTAATATTATCAGTCGATAAAGTTTTTATATTAAAAGCAACATTATTTATTTTCCTTTTTGGTCATTTCAACATCATTTAATTAATATCAACTCTCAAGCAAAAATGGTGTATGATACTACCAGTGGTGTCATTTGTATAGTCGTTTTCTCTATTTCTAATATTGGTTTACTAATTTCATGGATGATGTTTATTTCAAAAGAGAGGAAATTTTATAAACGTCTAAAAGAAGGTAGGTTGATATTTTTGTCATTTATCAAGATAAAACAAAATTAGTAATCCATTGATAATACATAGAGTTTATCTCATGTCTGGCTTTGTGTTTTATTTAGTCATATTTTTGCCACAATGGATATTGCTATTATTTTCTATATAGTTGCAGCTTGTATTTTGAATATTCTTATGATATTTTCATGGGTTTATTTTGTTAAGAAGATGAACAGATTTTATAAATATTTAGACCAAGGTGAGCATTTGTTTCTAAACATTTGTTCCAAGAAAAGATACTTGAGGCTTATCTATTTTAATCAAAATTTTTATTTGAAATTTCAGGTTACTATTTCATAGAGGATAATTACCGTTGGAGACGTAGAAGATTGCTAATGGTTCATCCATCCAATATTGATCAGAGTGAGTGAATAAAGAAATATGTAGTATTTATATTTTATTGATTATTTTTTTTTTTAAGCTTTGGATATTCCAAGAATCATTGATCCAGCCTTGATTATCAGTTAATTTTTGAAGTAGAATCAATAATAATAATTAATCACTACAATAATTCATACATATTTTATGATATCAATGTTATATAATTAAAATTGTATAAATAAATATGTAGTACATGTATTAATATAATAGACATTGTATTTTGTTGAGAGAGATTATAGATTGTTACTTTGTATTACAAAATCCAAGAGAAGCAAGAAGATTTATCGCAAATTTTTAAAGAAATATATTCATAAATACAATTTCAAGAATGCAAAATCTATTTGAAGAAAATAAGTATTTACATTAAAAAAAAAAATTTACCAAGAAGCAGAAATCGAAGCGAAGTCATTTTAAATTAAAGTGAATCCTACCAAATCAGTTTCGGAAGCAGTTTGGGATATTCAGCATTCAAGAAGAGTAAGTAGGTCAAGGAACCTGAAAATTTTATAATGATTTTAATTGGTTATTGAATTCAACTTTTAAATATTCCTGGCTCTTGATTGGGTTGTTTTGGCGCTGAAAATCAAGTTCTGAATATTCTCGGCTCTTGATTGGCTTTAGAATTCAAATTTTTAATCTTGCTGGCTTTTAATGGATTTTTCCGGCCTTTCATTTGGTTTACAATTGAATTTTTGAATATTTCCGGATTTTGACTGGCTATTGAATTCAAATTTTGAATATTCCTGGCACTCAGAAAATTGATAAATTTACGAATTTACCCCTAATTGCTTAACGCTATGTTATTTCTGATACTATAGGTCCAAATGAGCTAAAATTTTCAGGGATTGTAGTCCTCTACTGGGATAAGAATCACTGAAAATTTCAGCTTTCTATCTTCAATAGAAAAAAAGTTTTGATCTTTTAAAATTTACAAAAATCTAAATCATAAGGTAGTTAGCTACCTTTGTACTAAAATGATGAAATTTCAAATATTTTTGTGTTGATATTTTGTGTCTAAATGATCATTCGGGACCCCCCAAACTTCATACACTAAAAGATTCTGAGATTTGAAGCCAAAATCTATGAAAAAACGCACTCAGAAAATTGATAAATCTATCAATTCACTCCAAATTGCTTAACGCGATTTTCAGGGATTGTAGTCCTCTACTGGGATGAAAATCGCTGAAAATTTCAGCTTTCTATCTATAATAGAAAAAAAGTTGTGGTTATTCAAAGTTTTGAAAAATCCAAATCATAACCTTAGCATTAAAATGATGAAATTTAATTTTTTTTATCTTGAGATTTGGTATTTTAATGATCATTGGGGATCCTCCGGATCCCCCAAATACTATGTACTAAATTATTCTGAGATTTGAAATCAAAATCTATGAAAAAAGGCACTCAGAAAATTGATGAATTTACCCCAAATTACATAACGCAATTTTATTTCTGGAACTATAAGTTCAAATGAGCTGAAATTTTCAGGGATTGTAGTTCTCTACTGGGATGAAAATCGCTGAAAATTTCAGCTTTCTATCTGTGATAGAAAAAAAGTTATGGTTCTTCAAAGTTTTGAAAAATCCAAATCATAAGGTACTTATTACTTTACCTTACTTTACTTACCTTAGTACTAAAATGATGAAATTTAATTTGTTTTTATGTTGAGATTTGGTGTCTTAATGATCATTGGGGATCCTCCGGATCCCCCAAATACTATGTACTAAATTATTCTGAGATTTGAAGTCAAAATCTATGAAAAAGGCAATCAGAAAATTGAAAAATTGATAAATTTACCCCAAATTGCATAACGCGATTTTATTTCTGGAACTATAAGTCCAAATGAGCTGAAATTTTCAGGGATTGTAGTCCTCTACTAGGATAAGATAAGAATCACTGAAAATTTCAGCTTTCTATCTTTATTGGAAAAAAAGTTATGATCATTTAAAGTTTACAGAAATCTAAATCAATAAGGTAAGCTATATCCTATTCACAATCTGTAGTCCAAAGGTATAGGTAAATTTATCACCTTTCTCTATCAAATAGCATTGAAAGGTGATAAATTTTACCTGTAATACTACCTTTGTACTTCGCTTTGTACTAAAATGATGAAATTCCAATTTTTTTTTGTCTTGAGATTTTGTGTCTAAATGATCATTCAATCATGATCCGGATACATTCACAAATTGAATTTTAAAGGCCAGAAAAATCTAAAAATTGACTTTTAAAGTCAATCAAGAGCCGGGAACATTAAAAAATTGCATTTCAAAACCAATCAAGAGTCGGGAAGATTGAAAATTTGAATTGGGAATATTCAAAATTCGATTTTTAGCGCCAAAACAAACCAATCAAGAGCCGGGAATAATTAAATTTTGAATTCAATGGCAAATCAAAATCAGGAAATATTCAAAAATTGTATTTAATACGTCAAAAACCAATAACAAACTCTGAGAACCAAATATGAATTACCTAGAGGTAGATTACAATTAAATTGAATTCTTCACTACACGGTGTTATGGGCCTCGAGTAGTGTAAAGTGTAGGTATGGTGGTTGTTGTTGTATATGGGTTTTTATAGGTAAAACTGTATATTTGTACCATGAGATTACAACATGAGCTGACTGACTAACTGACTGACTGACTGACTAACTGACTGACTGACTGACTGACTGACTGACTCCGTCATCAGGTGGTGTCTTTGTTAAACTACTCATAAGTCATAACAGTTGTAAATGTATTATACTAAATTTTTAAACTTCCCAGACAGCACAGAAGACATCTTGAAGACTCAACTAGATGTTCTAAGGCATCTTAAAGACATTTTAAAGACGAGTTTTGTTACAAAACCCAACGTCCTTCAAGATTTCTTTTTTTTTTTTCGTCTTCAGACGATCAGACGTATTGCAGACCTAAAAAAGATGGCTTTAAGACTTTTGTCCTGAAGGATATCCATACATACAAACGGCATCCAAAACATGTCTTATAGACGAACCATCAACGTCTGCCTGAAGACGTCTTTTTTTGGTCTCAGAAATTCAGACGTAAAATGCTGTCTGGGAATTAAGGATTTTCGACCTGACCGAAGCGGCAACTGTGCGCCTCCGCCTAGGAAATCGGCGACTACCTAAGCGCGCGAGCCTAAACCCCGAGTTCCTAAAAGAGTGCCAGTTGCAGTTGCCTTTGCTTTGATAGTGTCGTGGTCAGGGGGGCCAGCTGAAGCCGCCGAAGGGGCCAATTTGGGGACGAACTATCGCGTCTTTGTGCGCGCGAAGAGAAGGCATCTGTTCTCGTGTTACATCTGCTTGACGAACGAACGACCATTTCCTTTATTTTTGTTTTTATTCACAAATACGAATTTTATTAATAATTATCGGGGAACAATTAACAATTAAATAAAACGATGCAAGGCGACGGGTATAGTATGGAGCCGTACGTGGACGGCTACATGGAGCAAGAGGAGGAATGGGAACGCGAAGGATTATTAGATCCCGCTTGGGAGAAACAACAGAAAAAGGTATTTTATTAAAATTTATGATAATGTATTGGTGTTTTGTTTGATTTTTCATACTTTTTAGTCCCTGATCCAATACATACCTAATAAAATTAGGGTGTACTTTTTCACTTTACACACTATAGTACAGAAAAAGTATTAATTTCTCTATAAATCTATGCTAGATTGAGTTTGATATCTCAAATATTTTTTGAGCAATTGAGCCTCAAACTTGAATTTTAGTAGAAATATAGTCAAAACTTCAAACTCAATTTTCCCAAAAACTATAAACCTGAAAATATTTTCCAATACCAGGTTTTTTAGAGCTTAATAGGAGCTACAATTCCTGAAAATTTTGATTCAATATCTTTCACGGATTTCAATATATTGAAGCCCAAAGATTTTGAAATAAGAATCTCATTCAATATTTCTCGAATTTTGACTTTACCAATGGATATAGCGGATCTAAATTAGTCGAAAAAAACTCTTAACATGATTTCCAAATGACCAATTTAAAGAGAGAAGGAAAAAAAAAATCATTTATTTTGGTTCTGATTTTTTTTTTTTTAATCATGACAAATGACAAGGTTAAGAAAAATTGCCAATATTTATGACAAGGTGACAAAGTAACAAACTGACACATTTCTGGTGTTGTCAATCATGCATCATAACCCTGATTTCTGTCAAAAACACTATAATTATTATAAAAGATTTGAACAAGTGGGTAAAATTGACGTATGAGTGGGTAAAAATTGACAAATGAATGGGTAAAAATTGTTCGATTTCACTACTCCAAATAAAGTGTTACTTTACAAAGTCGATTAAATGATAGTTTACCATTCGCGATAGAATAAATTATTTTATCTACAAGCGTTTGGTTATGACGTTTTTACATAACCATTTTTCTAGTATTTGAGTTTTGTCATGAGACTCGTAACACAACTAGTGGTGTTATAGACGAGGTTATGAATCTATAACACAACTATTTTTGGTGATTTGACAAATGTCAAGGTTAAACCTGTAAAGGTGAAATGAAGGTAGACAACTACTAATAAACGAAAATAATTGAAAAAACATTCTATTTTTCGCTTTGTAGATAAAACGTTGTACATCACACGTGCGTTTAAACATGACTACAAAACTCGTGTGATTAGAACGACTCGGTCTACGACCTCGTCGTTCTAATCTTTCACACTCGTTATTGTAATCATGTTCATAAACGCACTTGTAATGTAAATAACTATGTTTGTATTGTTCTGGGTTGCTATAATAGTTACGTGACACTTTTGTCAACAACTGCTTTCATCTAAATTTGACTAAAACTTACGATCTATTGCGGTAAAGATGAAAATTTATATTTTGAAATATTTTTGATTGATGTCATTACATAATTAAAAATATATAATTTTTTAAATATTGAAATGAAAACATGCTCATCGTACATAAAACCTTGTATGCACCTCGGTCAAAAAGAGCTTTAACGCCCTCAGCGTGTAAACAGCCCTCGGCGTGTAAACAGCCCTCGGCGTGTAAACAGCCCTCGGCGTGTAAACAGCCCTCGGCGTGTAAACAGCACTCGGCTAACGCCTCGGGCTGTTAAAGCTGTACTTTGTGACCTAGGTGCATAAATAACTATTCCCAATGACTAATTTAAAGAGAAAAAAAAAATCAAAAAGAAAATTTCATTTTTTGGGTCTGAATTTTTTTTGAATCATGATAAGGTTAAGAAAAATTGCCAATAAATAATCCCATTAAAATTTGAACGAATCAAAATTAATTAAACACTATTGAAAAGAGTAATAAATTCTCTATAAATCTGTGCTAAATTGAGTTTGATAGCTCAAATACTTTTTGAGCAATCGAGCCTCAAAGTGGAAATTTAGTCAAAAACTTAAAATTCAATTTTCTCAAAAACCATGAGCTTGATAGATCAATAGATTCAAGGATATTCATAAAAATCTATACATATAAAGCCCCAAGACGACATTCACAATGGGGATTTTCTGTCCTAAAAAATCCGATGTGACTCTCCTTTGGGATCCAACACAAAAATGGAAAAAAAAATAAAAACCAAATTACAAGAAAGAAATGAAAATTATTGTCATAAGAAGAATAAATTACGCAAGGGGCAAGTTTATATATAAAGTATATAAAGTTACTTTATTCAAACCCTTAGAACATGAAAAAAAAAAATCTACATAGGTTCTTCCTATGCTATACAGTCTATACTTACACACTATAGGTACAGTGTTACTATGCTAAAATATATAAAGAGTCACATAATGACACAGAGAGAACAGGAGAATAAAAGATCACAAGAAGCAATCACAAAAAAAAAAAAAACAAGCAGAATTATTATTAGAGAAAGTGATCATTGATTTTTGCTCTAAAGTGATGTACATACAACAAAGATCTTTCAAACTGGCTGGGATATCATTATAAATTGTGATACCTTTACAATAAATTGAGTTCTTGCCCATATTAGTGTGTATCTTTATTTTTTCCAAGTGATTGTGTGTTCTTGTGTCGTAACTATGAATATTATTTCTGGTAATAAATATTATTGATGATTGTTTGTCCTTTTTTATCACTGCATGAATAAAATTACACACTTGAATTTTATAAATGATTTCCAAATTGTTGATATTGAATTTTTTATACAAAAGGTTAGTTGAGAATCTCCTAGGCAAGCAATACAGGTTTTTTATTGCCATGTTCTTTAAAATCATAAGTGGCCCGATGAACTTCCTCCTTGCGGGAAACCATATAGCCGCCAGGTATTGGAGGTGGCAGTAAATAAGTGAGAAATACAATGGTCTTAAAAACCTTTCTGGTACGATAAAACTTGTGTGTGGTATTCCCAAGACAAAGTTTCATCCAACCTCTAGGTACTTAATTTGTTTAGAATAGCAAAGTTTGCCACCGCAAGGGATTCAAATAATGGATTTTTCGCAGGGAGAGGAACATATAGTTGGAGTTTTGAATGTTTAAGGTTAATTTATGTGCATCAAGCCACTGTATGATAATGTTCAAGTCACAAGTCATTCTTTGTTGCAAAATCTCCAAAGAATCATCAAAATAAACCAACATGCTGTCATCCGCATACAGTCTAAGAGCGCCAGACAGATTGAGCTTGGAGATTGAATTTATGTATATTAAAAAGAGGGTAGACCCCAAAATGGAACCTTGCGGAACGTCACATTTAATATTTTTTTCTGAGCTTTTAATATCTTCCAAAAACACAAACTGTCTCCGCTCTGACAGGTAACTAGAAGGCCAACCATAAGTCTTCCACGATACTCCAAGTTTTCCGGCAAAACTTTAACCACTTTCATTGATTTAGGCACAATACCACTAGTAAAGGACCGATTGAACAACTTACTCAGCAAACTACTCAACTCAAATGTGCACTGTTTAACAGTCTTAATCTTAATGTCTATGTCATCGAAACCTGATGCCTTGTTTGGGTCAAAACCATCAATAGCACCAAAACCTCTGAAAAGTTGGCCTCCATCAAGGACCATTCACCTTCTCATGATTCCTCTTTGTTAAGATCCATTGTTGAAGGTTTGATTCTTGATGCCAAAGATGCTGCTACGCTGATAAAGTAATCATTCATGCTCTCGCAAATGTCAGCAGCGTTGACAAAACTCTGATTTCCAACTTTCAGTGATGTTATGTTTCTATTAGAACTGGTATTTTTATTGGAGATGATTTGGTTTATCACTTTCCACTCTTTTTGAACATTTCCTCTAACTCTTCCTAATTCAGCTTCATAGAAGTCCTTTTTTGCTGTGGCGATAACCCTTTTCAGTTTTTTTTGGGAGTCAATGCATTTATTTTTCAAGTGGACATTGTCAGGATATTGCCTACTTTTTCTATAGTAATAGTCATTGGAAGTAATGGCCATTTTTACATCACGGGTGAACCATGGTTTGTTATCAGTAATATCATACAAAATTCAGCACAATAAAGAACTCCTCTATTTATTAGATGAATGTGCAAAGATCCAGGAAAGAAGAAATTCTGGATTCAGACAGTGACCCAAAAATAAAAAGAAGGTAGAAAATAGAGAACGAAATGAAAGTAGAAGTTAAACCATTACAATGAGAGTTTGTTATTTTGCAACAGAGAAAAAATAGAAGTCTTAGTAGAAGAAAATGTCACCTAAGTCAAAAATAGTAGGTATATTGTGTATTTAGGTGGAAAAGTGACACATTCTCGGCCGACGGTGTAAGTTGACGGGCGAGGCGCAGCCGAGGCCGGCAAACACCGAAGACTGAGAATGTGCTTTTCCACCGAAATACACATACTATTTTTTCTGCGCTTGTTGTTGCTAAGGAATTAATGAATACCAATACGGGAAACACTTTTCCGGCCTAGGCCGGGAAAGTGATTCTCGTATTGCTGAATAATTGGAACTAAAAGACAAACATTTAACAGGTATTTACCCGATCGCAGAAAAAAATGTATGTATATTTCGGTGGAAAAGCACATTCTCGGTCTTCGGTGTTTGCCGTCCTCGGCTACGCCTCGCCCGTCAACTTACACCGTCGGCCGAGAATGTGTCACTTTTCCACCTAAATATAGTCCAACAAATACCATTTTAAAGTCACGTGATTTTTCTCTATCCTTGTTGAATACATCTCAAACAGCGGTGATAGCAAAATTGACAAAAAAATTGGTGTCTAATTATTGTTCATAATATTCTTACCTGAAATAGAATCCGTCACTGTCATCAATTAGTTTGTCAAAGAAATTTTGGAAAATAATACAACAAACAAACACAGCTAATAATTTTGACTATATTAACCTTTTTCCAACTCGAAAAGAAGCAAATAGAAATCGGGTACCTAATTCAAGTTCAGAATGTATTACAATGGACAGCAGATGCGACAAAAGTGAGTCTCACAACAATTGCAAGTATTAAAATTCCCATCTGATTGGTCAATACTACTTCAGAAACGCGTTTGTAAAATGCTATTGGGAACATATCTTAAAATTCAATAGTAATTAACCACTAG